CCACTGGCGTGGCAGCTGCTGTTCTTGCCTCTGTATCAGCTCGTCGGTTTCCCTCAGCCTTGGGACTACTCCTTTTTTGATGCCCTTTACAAAGAACAATAGCAAGAGCCTTAGGCATCTATATGGCTTCAAATAAGGCTAAAATCTCCCCCTTGTTCTTGATGTCCTTCTCAGCCGAAATCAGAAGCCCTCTTTCCTTGTAGATGGCCCCGTGTACATGTGCAGTGGCAAAGGCGTATTGGCTGTGACTGCCTTATCTTTTCCCCATCTTAGTGCCTCAGTGAGGGTGATGAGTTCTGCCTTTTGAGCAGAAGTCCTATGGGGAAGAGCTTGTGACAGGATGGTGCCAGTTAGAGTTACGCCCACTGCCCCAGCATACCTCCTTCCTTCCTGCATGAAGCTGCTTCCGTTCATGAACAGAACTTCATCGACCTCAGGTAGAGGGGAGTCTTTGAGGTCTGGCTGCGAGGAACACACAGCATCAGTGAAATCTATGCAGTCATGAATAGAGGTCTCGGGGTCTGGGCCTGGCAACAGATTGGCTGGGTTGATGACAGTAGCTTTGGATTTTAGGCATACGTTTGGGGTCATCCGGTGCCTCCCTGTTGTTGAACACCTTCTGGGCTATCTTAACAAGTTGGGGCAGGTTCATCCCTGCAAAACCTTCTAACTTTTGTAATTTACGCCGGATATCAGGGCCTGCCTGAGTAGCAAAGGTTATATTAATTGCCTGTTGGTTCTCAGGGGCCTCAGGATCAATGGGGGTGTATACCCGGTACGCCTCGCTCAAGAAGCGCTCCAGGGGATTCCTGAGGTCCCTCCCTGTATAACTTCAGTTACCTTAGAAAGGTTAGTTGGCTGAGGAGCAGCCATCCTAATTACCCCAATTAGAATCTGGTGGTACTGATCTAATGCCTTCTCCCTGCCTGAGAATCGTGTCCCCCCCGGGGCGGGTGGAGGGAAATTCCTCCTCAATCTGTTCCCTTGCTTCCTCAACTCTCCTCCCTCCCGCAGCTATCTTTTGTGTTTCAGTCGGAATGCGTCTTTGTTCTTCCTCAGTGAAGGGGGTAATTAAAAGCTGTTGGCAATCATCCCAGGTGAGGCAGTGAGTCTGAAAGACACTTTCTAAGAGTCCCATTAATGCCTGGGGTTTCTCAGAGAAAGGCGGATTCTGTGCCTTCCAGTTGTATAGGTCACTAGTCGAGAAAGGCACATAGACTATAAAGGGCCTGTCCTCTGGTGGAGATTGGAGGACTGAGGGACTGGGCTATCTTGGAGATTCAATTGCTGCATGTTTTGGGGTGTCCACAACTAAGACTCACGCCCCTAGAGAAAGGGCACACCGGCAGAGTCAAGGAGGGGGTGTCTGAACAAGGTTTAACCA